GGAGCTCCAGGCTCCTGGCTTCTGCCTGGCCCAGCCCTGACCATCACGGCCATTCAAGGAATGAACCAGTGGAAACAATTCTCTCTCCCCTTAAGTCTGCTTTTCAAATAAGTAAAATAAAGTATTTGTAAAGATTTATTTTATTTGAAAGAGTTACACACAGAAGGAGAGGCAGAGAGAGAGGCAGAGAGAGGTATTCCATTCGCTGGTTCACTCCCCAAATGGCCACAACGGCTGGAGCTTAGCTGATCTGAAGCCAGTAGCCAGGAGTTTCTTCCTGGTCTCCCACCCGGGTGCAGGGGCCCAAGAACTTGGGCCATCTTCTACTGCTTTCCCAGGCCATAGCAGAGAGCTGGATGGGAAGTGGAGCCACTGGGATTAGAACCGGTGTCCATGTGCAATGCCCGCACTGCGCCACAGCGGCGGCGCCTTGTCTCCTAAAGTTAACCACTGAGCGCATTTGGACATGCATCCTTTCTTAATGTTTAAATTTTTAAAATTCTTCATCTACTGTATCTAAGTGTAGGTAAATATATATCATAAATTTAGAAGATATAAATAGTTTATAGAATGAAAAGCTTTGTTATATAATATAGTAAATGTATTAGTATAGATATTTATCTTTGTGCATGTTCTGTAAAAATGGGGCCCCACTGTACCCATTATTCTGCAGTTTGCTTTTTTCACTCCTTTTGAACGCTAGTTACAGAGACAGAGAGGTCTGCCATCTGCTGTTCCACACCCCAAATGGCCTCAACAGCTTGGGCTGGGCCAGGCTGAAGCCAGGAACCAGGAGCTTCTGGGTCTCCCATGTGGGTGCAGGGACCCAAGCACCTGGGCCATCTTCAGCTGCCTTCCCAGGCCACAGCAGGGGGCAGCTGGGCCTTGAACCGGGCTCACATGGGACACTGGCGTCACAGGCAGGGGCTTAACAAGCTGAACCACAGTGCCTGGCCCCTCTCTCTTTTTTTTTTTTTTTTTTTTTTAATTAAATAAACAACCATTTGTGTATGTGTTTTTATTTGGATGTGTTCATACCTGAGCAGGCAAACTCAGTTTTACAGACCAGGGGTGGCATCAGCTTAGCCAGCATTAGTTTATTGCAGAAGAGACTCGGGAGGTGTTCACATGATGAAGGATTACAGGGCTTCGTGGGACGCCATGGCCATGCGTGCAGCCTCCAGATGTTCCGCGGACGTCCCGGCTCGAAATAAACATCTGGAATGATCCCCGGCATCCACGCTGCCTGGCGGAGTCTGCACCGTCCTTAGAGCCTGTCCCACAGCCTTGACTGTTGCTGGCAACCCTGTGCCTTGTGATTTTTCTGGAAGCAGAAGGCTTCCTTTGGTTGCAGTTTCCACAGCACTCCCGTTGAAGAGTGGGATGGGCGTCACCAGCTCAGGCGTCACCCCAGGTGGCCCCATCATTCCTTCTTAACAGCCCCTTGTTTTGCTTTTTTCCCTGCACATGTCACTGTCTGAAATGACCTTAATTGGTTCATGTCCTGGTCGGGTGCCTGCCTAGCCCACTAGAGCCTGAGACCCGGAACCTTGTCTCGCTCCCCGCCCCCGTGGTCCCTGGGTCCTGGCACTGGCTCCCCTCACGGGTGCTCAGTGGGCATTTGGTGAGCGTCCCTGCTGGGCAGGGTCTGGAAGACTGTTCCAAATGGACCACGGAGGCTCCTGCTGCTTTGGAGGTGCCTGCGACAGGGTGAGGTTAACCACAACTTTATTTTCTTTGTAAAACCTTCGTAAAAGATCTGTTTAGTGGAAAGGTAAAGCATTGTGTGGAGGGGCAGATCTTCTGTCTGCTGGTTCACTCCCCAATTGGCTGCAACAGTCAGGGCTGGACCAAGAGGGAGCCAGGAGCTCCCTCTGGGTCCCCCAGTACTTGGGCCATCATCTGCAGCTTTGCTAGGTGCGTTAGCAGGGAGCTGAGTGGAAAGTGGAGCAGCCGGGACTCACACTGGCACTTGGATAAGGGCTGCTGGCATGCAGGCAGCCACTTGACCCCCTGTGCCGCAACGCCGGCCCCTCTTTAAATTGTTGGCATGGAAGGGCTGCTTCCTTCCGTCTTTAGAAATCAAACGGAAAAGCCCCGAACGACATGCTCACGTCCCTCAGCCCCATCCTGAAGTCCTGGCTCGACGTGGGCAGGTGGCTGACTTGCCCGTCTGTGACTTCTGACCTCACCTGTGCACGTAGACTCACCTTCCCCCTGGCCCGGCGTTTACAGTGTGCACAGCACAATCGCGCCCATTGTCTCCCCTGATTACCCACCACTCTGAGATGCAGGCCAGAGATTATCCCCAGTTTACAGGGTAGGAAATGGGGCTCCCAAGGGTGAGCTGGCCGGCCTGTGGTCAGAGCTATGATCGCAGGTGCTGATCATGACGAGGTGAGCTGACTCAGAATGGGCTTAACAGGCCCACAGATAGATGGCTAGTGGGGGCCAAGCGCTGGCTGTGTATACTATTATTATGGCATCAGGAGGAGTCAGGGTTGGATCCGGAGCTGCCCTCAGGGACCCAAGGGGAGCCTTGAAGGCTGCTCGTGGACAGGAATAGAATTACTCATACGGTTTTTGTTTTTAAAGATTTATTTGGAAGGCAGACTGATAGAGACCTTCCATCTGCTGGTTCACTGCGCAAGTGGCCAAAGTTAGGAGCCAGGAACTCCATCCATGTGGGAGACATGGATGTCAGGGACTTGAGTACCTGGACCTCCTGCAGCCTTCCCAGGCTGGCTCTGAAGTGGAGTACCTGGGATTCCAACTGGCACTCCAGTACGTAGCAAGCTGCAGCTTCACCCGGTGCACCACCATGCCGGGCCCTGCCCCGGGGCTTTAATGCAGGTCCTGCACGGTCTGTGAAGGTCAAGGCAGATGCTGGCCTCAGATCCTGAGCCCAAATCTCGGATTTAATTAAAGGAAGCGCCTGGAACCCTGCCTTCCTGAGTCACTTCCCCTAAGGGACAGGGCATAAAGGAGGGGGCGGGGCAGGGCCAAGAGGGGCAGGCCAGGCAGTGAGGCCATGGCAAGGCCTTCCCAGGGGGTCTGAGAGGCCACATTCTGGGCCAACATGGTGGCCTTCCAGTTTTGGGCACACCCAGGGGTATGAGGCTGACCCAGGTTGGCCTACCGCGGGCCCCGGGTCATAACTGTTCTGAATTGGGACTCTGGAAGTATTGAGGAGGTGGAAGTCCCTAAACTGGCTTCTCTCCTTAATCATGTATCCAAAAAGGCCCATGTGACAAGTGGACATTGCTAGGTCACGAGTTTCCCAGATAGCAAATATCAGATAAAACCTGTGACTGAGGACCCACATGTCAGGCACTATTTTTTTTTTTTTTGTAAGATTTATTTATTTATTTGAAAGAGAGGCAGGGGGGGAGAGGTTTTCCATCCCCTGGTTCACTCCCTAGATGGCTGCAACCGCTGGAGCTGCACTGATCCGAAGCCAGGAGCCAGGAGCTTCCTCCAGGTCTCCCACGCAGGTGCAGGGGCCCAAGCACTTGGACCATCTTCTACTGCTTTCCCAGGCCACAGCAGAGAGCTGGATTGGAAATGGAGCAGCCAGGACTTGAACCTGCGCCCACGTGTGATGCTGGCACTGCAGGCAGCGGCTTCACCTGCTATGTCACAGCGGCACTTTTTAAAAAGACCTATTTATTCATTTGAAAGAGTTACACACACACACACACAGAAAAGAGATCTTCTGTCTGCTGCTTCATTCCCCAAATTGTTGCAACAGCCAGGGCTGGACCAGGCCAAAGCCAGGAGCCTGAAACTCCATCCAGGTCTCCCACACTGCAGGCTAATGGGGGCCTGCACTTGGGACCCACGCCCTCGGGCCATTGTCTGCGGCCTTCCCAGCAGCGTTAGCAGGGAGCTGGGCTGGAAGTGGAGCTGCCAGGACCTGCACTGGTTGTCCACACAGGATGCGGGGGTCACAGGCAGTGGCTGTCCTTGGAGCCACAACGCCATGCCCACTTTACACCCTAACCCTCAGCCACCAGCTAAAGTGGGATCATCCCCAGTTCCCAGGTGTAGACTGCAGCTGAGGGCGGCACAGGTCACAAGGCTGGTGGATGTGACTCCGCGCCCGTTCTGGATGACTAAGACCCCTGTGCCTGCCCACCGGGAGGCCGCAGACCCGCTCCAAGCCCAGCCCGGCCTCGGTCAGGGTGACCTCACTGCCGCGGGCAGAGGGAGGCTGATTCATCCGCGGGAGATTCGGCGGAGGCCTCTGGGACGGGGCCAGTAGATGGAGAAAGGCCAGCCCAGAACGGTACCGGAGGGGGCTGCTACCCCTGGGTCCTTTCCATAGGCCTGAGGCCCTGTCACTCCAATCCGACCTGCAGGGGACCCAGGCCCGGGGGCGGGGCAGATCCCTGAGCTTCCCGGGGGATAGAGGTCCTGCTTGCTGTTTGGGGCACTCAGTCTGTCACCGGGTGGACCCTGGGGCTGACGGTGGTGGAGGGGGCATGAGTCGCCCCTCCCCCTGCACTGCATGGGGAGGGGATGGCGGGAGTCAGCCGGCTGAGGGGGCGCGAGCCGGGAGGGAACTTGGAGGCCCAGCAGGGGAATGTCCCCAAGGTTTCAGGCCAGGATCGAGTGGGTTGAGGTTAGTGTGGGGGAAATCTGCCGGCGCTCAGGAGTGGGGAGCAAGCGGGAGGTGTCCCGCCTCTGGAGGGGGAGTCCCGGTGGGCAGCGTGGTGTTGGTGGGGGGAAGTCACTGTGGCAAGGGCTGGCCCGGGCGAGGCGCACGCCCGGGAAGGAGTAGTAGGGATCCTACGGCAGACGGGCCACCGGGTGTCTGACCTTCTGGGTGGGGGCTGGGGGTCCGCGCCTAGGGGCGGAGCCGCAGATGGGTGGGGCGCCAGGCCGCCCCCTCCCCGCTCCCCCGCGGCGGCGGGCGGGCCTCGGGCGGGGACCGGGGCGGCGGGAGGCCCGCGCCCGCGGCCGGCCCACTAGGAGGCGAGCGGGCCGCCGTGAGTAAGGGCGGCCGGCCGGGCCACGCGGGGCGGCGGCTGCTCGGGCAGGTCGGGGCAGGGCCGGGCCGGCCGGGCGGGCGGGCGGGGGCGGCGGCGGCGGGAGCCGAGCCCGGGCCCCGCGCCGGAGTCGGACGGGGACAGCGAGGCCCGCCCGCCCCGCGCCCTTCGCCCAGCGCCAGCCGGTGGGCGCCCCGAGCTCCGAGAGGCGCCGGGCAAGGCGCGCCGCAGCCGCAGCCGCAGCCGGAAATCGGTCTCGCGCGGCGGCCCCCGAGCCGGAGCCGGAGCCGGAGCCGGAGCCGAGCCGGGCCGGGCCCGCGCGGCCATGGCGGGGCCGCGGGGCGCGCTCCTGGCCTGGTGCCGCCGCCAGTGCGAGGGCTACCGCGGCGTGGAGATCCGCGACCTGAGCAGCTCCTTCCGGGACGGCCTGGCTTTCTGCGCCATCCTGCACCGCCACCGGCCCGACTTGCTGTGAGTGCCGGGGCGCGGCGGGCGGACGGGCGGGCGGACGGACGGGCGGGCGGCGGCGGCGGCGGCGGCGGCGGGCGCTGGGGGCCGCCGCCCCCCTCAGTGACGCGGAGCCCGGCCGGTGGCAGGCGCCGCCCCCCGGGGACGGCCCGGAGCGCGGAGACCCCGGCCCCGGCGGCACCCCTCCCCCCTCGGCCGCTCGGACCCCGCCCGCCGGACAGGGGGTCCTAACCCTCGCGGGGGCCGTGGCCCCGCCCGCGGGACGCTGAGCCCTCTGCTTGGGGACCCGCGCCCCTCCTGCGCCGGATGCCTGGGGGACGGGCGCGCCGAGCCCCAGTGCCCCACTTACGGCTGTAGAGGTCAGGATGCCCCACCCCCAAGTGCACTCTCCTAGGCGTCTATGCAGTTGGTCTGAGACCTGCAGATGGTTCCTGAGGGGCGGTGCTGTTGCAGCAGAAATTTCCATGGACAGGAAAGCACTTGGGTCACCGAGGGGCTCCGCGGCGCGGCAGGACCGCGTTTCCTTCCCTCGCCCGGGAGCCCCCAGCCCTCATCCATCCCCTTCGTGTCCGCAGACACAGCTTCCAGTCCCATTAGTGGGCCTTCCATGCAGACAAAGGGAATTAAATGCGGTTTTTCTCCTGTTAATCCGTTTTATGTCACTGTAATTCAGGGCCCCGCGGGGAATCTGGGGGGGCAAAGGGTAGCCATGTTCACCCCCTACACCCCACAGGGTGGGGGTGGGGCTGGGGCGGGGGCTCCTTGCTCTGTGAGTGCAGGGGGTCCCTGCTTCTCTGACTCATGGTGGGGCGGATCTTGTCTGCAGGCACCAGCCCAGTTCTAACCCAGAGGGTTAGAGGGGACCCCACGGTAACAGTTTCTGGATGAGTGGGCGTGCACCCTGCTGTGCTCTGGCGCTCAGAGGAGCAGAGGTGGCACTGGGAGAGACACGGCCTCAGGGACAGCCGCCAGCCGGCTGCTCAGGCTGAGAAATGGCCGCTTCCTGCCTGGAGCTGCCCTGTGAGAGTCTCAGGGGAGAGTGAGTTCAGACCCCCCCCCCCCAACCTCCTTCTGTTAGTTCATGCGTTGTGAAACAGTGAGAGTTCACCTGTGCCCACCTGGCCTTTGGCCTCAGGTCACACCTGGAAATCTGGGACAGGAGTCCTGGCCCCCGCCTCCCCGCCTCCCCAGCGCCCTCCTCCAGGCTCCCCCTCCCCCGGCCCTAAGCGAGGCACCCCAGCCTGGCAGGGTTTGTGTCCTTGCACCTGCCAACCTGGAGGGATGGTCCCAGGGGTTGTGGTGCACACACACCCGCTTCACTCTGCACCAGGCGGTCCCAGGTCTGGGGGGGGGGCCTTGGAGGAGAGAGGAGGAGGTGAGAGGCCTGTGTCACTGCTGATGGAGGCGCTGGGTGGGCTGGGAAGGTAGAGGAGGAGGGTGCTGTTGTTGGGTCCGTGTTGGAGCTGGGGACTTGGGGGGGGGTCTTCTGTGAGGCCGGGGCAGGGGTGGCCTAGCGTGGGAAAGCCCTCGGGGGTGGAGCTGAGCTGTTTCAGGGCGGGCTGCCTGGCTGGGCGTGTGTAACGGGGGCTGCATGGTGAGGCCCGAGCTCCGACGCTCGCAGCGTTGTCAGGGGGGCTGCGTGTGGTCAGGCGCGGGCAGGTGCCCGTCCTCGTCCTCGCACCCTGGCACTGGGCGGCAGAGGCTGCTGGCGCTGTTCCATGCCCACGTTTACCCAGCGCGTATTTACAGTTACTACTCCGTGCTGGTGCTGCCTGGCCACCGGGCTCCCGTGGGAACCGCAGGTGCTCCAGCAAGGGCCCGGGCTGGGAAGACCTCCTGGGGCGAGCACCGGTGCTAAGGAGATGGACCACAGGGTTTTAGGCAGGGGAGGGATGTGGCTGGAGAGGGAGCGGAGGTTCTGTGCCATCACGCGGCCCACTGAGGCCCAGCTCCCCTGCAGGGCATGGGTGGTGGTGGGGCGGGATCCCTGTGAGCCCTGGGCGTGGGGGTGGGGAGGCCCAGAGCCCTGCTGTAGAGCGGTTCAGGCTTCCACAGTGCCTCTGCTGGGTGCGGCTGGGGCAGCAGGGAGGCTGGTCCATTCCTGGACTGGTTCCTGAGGCCGGGGACCATGTGGGTTTCATCTGTGAGTCCTGCGTTTTCCCCAGAGCCAAATAGAACTTCCCAGGCCTCCGCAACTCTGAGAAAATCTCTGTCACCAAGACCCGATGTCGGGTAGGGACGGAGATGGAGGCGGGATGGTGGAGGAGGTTCCTGCGGGAGGCTGCCCCAGTCTTTTCACCAGTTATGCGGCCAACGGCCCGCAGTGCCCGGCCACTCAGTGGAGAGTGGTGGGGGCTCCAGGTGGACGAAATAGCGACCTGACCCTTTGCAGGAGCGCTGCCGGGAAGACGGGGATGCACGGCGAGCCTGGTCACTCGTGTCTCCAGCGTGGGAGCAGGCGCCTGGGTGGAGAGGGGCGGAATGGCTTGCTTAGGGCCGCACTGCACTGTCAGGTGTGGGAAGACCGTGGAGTTAGTGAAGCAGCCGAGGGGCACGGACACGTGGCCGGGGGTGATGCAGGGGTGCAGCGGGAGCCCAGGGTCCTGCAGCTGCCCACTTCTGCAGCCGTCCAGGGTGTGTGGTCCCTGGCCGCCCCTGGACAGGGCTTAGTTAGGGGCAGGAGGAGGGGGGTGGGCTTGCCTGGCTCCCTTGTGTCAGGGAGGCCTGCGCTTCACCGAGCCCCACCTGCCAGTGCCCGCGCCAGCTTGGGAGGCGGCACCCATGCTTTCCCCAGCCTGCAGATGGGGACGCAGGCGGAGGCCGGAAGGCTGCGGACCTGCCTGAGGTCACAGAGCCCGGCCTGGGAGAACAGGGCCTGGGCCTCCAGCCCTCCCCTGTCTCAGGCCCTCGCAGCTGCAGTTTGCAATCCTAGAAGGAAGTGCAGGCTGTGGGGTCGGGGCCCCAGGAGGCTTCGGGGCAGGGAGCTGAGCTGCCTCAAGCTGGTTTCAACCCCTCCAGGGCCCTGGGGTCAGGAGGGGGGTGAGGGATAAATAAAGCCAGCAGGCGGTCAGCTGTCCCATGCCAGGTCCCTGGGCCGCCTCTCACCTGTCCCAGCGTAGTCCCCAGTGCCCCAGCCATTCAGCTGGGGCTCTGAGTGTATACCATTTCCTCTCTGGTTCCAACTTGTTCTGGCTCCATGAAGAAAAACATTTGTCCTGGGCCTGGGCTCGGAGTTGGCACGTCGGAGAAGGCGCTCTGAGCCTGGGGTGTGCAGGGCGAGGGCTGGCAGTGTGACTTCCCCTGTCCAGGCCTCAGCGTTCTCATCTGTAAAATGGTCCACTGGGCCCTGTTACGCCTGCTCTGGGCTCTCAGCAGGCAGGCGGCTTCCTGGGGAAGTGGGGAATCTCAGACGGCAGTGCCGGCTTCCTGGCCGCAGTCTGCCTGTATGCCTCCAGAGACCGTGAGCTTGTCCCATGCAACCTGGCAGCCCCAGCTCTGCTAGGGGCCTTCGAAAAGTTCATGCAAAATGGAATTAAGAGATAAGTTTGTTTTGGTGTGACATTTTTTCATAATATTCATTGTCCGTGAACTTTTTGAAGAGCCCACAGGTTAGCAAGTTCCTGCTGCCTCGCCCGCTCCTCTGCAACCCGCAGACCTCCCCCAACCCTGCCAAGGCCGACGCTGGCCACTGTGACGTCACCACTGCGCACTCCACACCCTGCCCCCCCCCCGTCACATCTTCTCTCTCTCTCTCTCTCTCTGCTTTTTAATAAGATTTATTTATTTGAAAGACAGAGCCATGGGGCTGGCGCTGTGGCGCAGCAGGTTAAAACCCTGTCCTGCAGGGCCAGCATCCCGTATGGGCGCTGGTTCAAGTCCCGGCTGCTCCACTTCGATCCAGCTCTCTGCTAACACACATGGGAAAGCAGTAGAAGATGCCCTGAGTCCTAGGACCCCGGCACCCACGTGGGAGACCCGGAAGAAGTTCCTGGCTTTGACCTGGCCCAACCCTGGACCAGCAGACAGAGGATTCTCTCTCTCTCTCTCTCTCTCTCTCTCTCTCTGTTACTCTGCCTTTTAAATAAAATTTAAAAAGAAGAGCCAGAGAGAGAGAAGGTAGGACAGAGAGAAGAGAGATCTTCAGTCCGCTGGTTCATTCCCCAAATAGCTGCAATAGCCGGGGCTGGCCAGGCTGAAGCCAGGAGCCGTGCATCTATCCGGCTCTCCCACACAGGTGGCAGTGGCCTAAGCACTTGGGCCGTGTCCAGTTGCTTTCCCAGGTGCGTTAGCAGGGAGCTGGATCAGAAGTGGAGCAGCTGGGGCTCCAACCATCTGTGAGATGCCGGTGACGTGTGCGACAGCTCCCCCTGCGCCACCGCGCCGGCCCCACCGCGCGGCCCCTGTGACCCCTCTCTTGATCAACCCTCCCCTTTTTACCTTTTGCAGAGATTTCGATTCACTTTCCAAAGAAAACATCTTCGAGAATAACCGTCTGGTGAGTCCCCAGACAGCTGGAAGCCCAAGAGGCTGAGTGTGTGCGCACACGTGTGTGTCTGAGTGTGCACATGTGTGTGACAAGGATCTTGCCCTTCAGCTGCCCTTGTCTGTGGGCTGCAGCTCCCAGAGAAGACCCCAGCCCCTCTTCTGTGGACCCCCTGTGCCTGCAGCCTCAGGCCGGCCCCTGCTCTACATCCTGTGGGCCTGGTGGGGGTGGGGAGCCCACAGTCCCCCACCCTGCCCAGGGCCCCCTGACACCACCTGCTCACCCTCCCACCCTGCGCAGGCCTTCGACGTGGCTGAGAGGGAGTTGGGGATCCCCGCTCTGCTGGACCCCAGTGACATGGTCTCCATGCGCGTCCCCGACAGCCTCAGCATCATGACCTACGTGTCCCAGTATTACAACCACTTTGCTGCCCCTGGCCAAGGTGAGGCGGGGGGGGGGGGGGCTGGTCCTGGTCCTGGTCCTGTTACTTGTTTTCTCCCTGGGCGGGGCGGGCGGGGGCACAGCAGGAGCCTCGTCCCCTGGATCCCTCGGTCAGTCCTGTGCTCATTCAGCCCGGTGCTCGGCCCTGGGGCCCCCGAGGGTGCCCGCTGCCTGCAGGCTTGTGGGCGGACACAGGCGGCAAATACAGAAACCAAAAAGCGAACAAAATCAGGTCGGAGGGGACAGCTGGGGGAGTGCCCCCCGCACCGTTCCTGTCTGCGGCAGCTCTGTCCTGTGTGCGGGGTGACCCCCAAGGCCTGGGCGGCCTGGGCGCGGGCTCCAAGGGGACGGCTCTGCGCTGAGCACCCCCAGGCTGGAGCCCCCCGGAGCGCTGGGGCGGCCCAGCAGGGGAAGCAGGGGCTCAAGGTCACACAGCAGACGGAGGGTTCCGGAGGGTGTCCAGAGGGTGTCCAGAGGGTGTCTGGAGGGTGTCTGGAGCCCACGCGGGTCGCCGCTGTCCCGGGGCCCTGTGTCTGCCTCCACTCTCCCCCTGGCGTGTCCCAGCCCAGCCCCTCTCCTTTTAAAAAGTGTTTCATGAAGTCACGGTTTCTTTCCTTACTAACTCATGCTTGCTATAGAAACTATACCATACAGAAGCAGCACAAGAATGAAAAGAATGTGGAATTAACATGATAGTTGAACAGGCGGTTGGGGAGAAGAGCTGGGACTCCATTTTTGCTCTTTTTCTCTTTCTTTCTTTGAAAAGCAGAGAGAGAGAGACAGATCTTCTTATATCCTCTGTTCACTCCCCAAATGCCTGCAACTGCTGGGGAAACTCCATCCGGGTCTCCCACGTGGGTGGCAGGGACCCAGGGACTTGGGCCACCACCCGCTGCCTCCCAGGGTGTTCTGCCACTGATTCTGTGTGGGACAGTGGGGCAGTTGCTATGCCTCCCTGCCTCAGTTTCCCCTCTGTGGCGGGGATTAGAATAGCGCCTATCAGGGGCTGGCATTGTGGTGCAGCAGGTTAAGCTGCCACCTGAGATGCCGACAACGCACATGGTTGCTGGTTCGAGTCCTTGCTGCTCCACTTCCAATCCAGCTCCCAGCTAATGCGCCTGGGAAGATGGAGAAGGATGGCCCAAGTGCTTGGGCCCCTGCACCCCTGTGGGAGGCCTGGACGGAGTTTCTGGCTCCTGACCCAGCCCTGGCTGTTTTGGCCACTTGGGGAGTGAACCAGCCAATGGGAAATCTCTGTATCTCCTTCTCTGTCTCATAACGCTGCCTTCCAAATCAATCAATCAATCAATCAATCAATCACAGGATTGATGTGAGGACCCACGGTCACCCTTCCTACGACAGGTGTCCCAGACAAACGACACAGCCACGCGTGATGGTGCCAAAGCTGCACCCATTTAGTAGAATCTACCTGACGTTTCAGAGTCTGATCTCTTCTTTCTTTCTCTCTTTTTTTTTTTAATAAAGATTTTATTCATTTATTTGAGAGGTAGAGCTACAGACAGAGAAAGGACTTCCATCCGCTGGTTCACTCCCCAATTGGCCGCAATGCCCAGAGCTGTGTCGATCCGAAGCCAGGAGCCAGGAGCTTCCTCCGGGTCTCCCACGTGGGTGCAGGCACAAGGACTTGGGCCATCCTCTACTGCTTTCCCAGGCCACAGCAGAGAGCTGGATCGGAAGTGGGGCAGCTGGGATTCGAACTGGTGCCTATATGGGATGCCGGCACTGCAGGCGGCGGCTTTACCTGCTACGCCGCAGCGCTGGGCCTGGGTCTGACCATAGCTGCCACCGGCTGGCTGTGGTCTGGTCCGAGCCCCCCCCGCGGTGCTGGGCAGTGAGGGGAAGCAGCAGGCGCTCTGCAGGGAGCTGGGCTGCGGAGCCGCGAGGCTGACAGGTTCCGGGCGGCAGGCAGGTGCCTTCTCCACCTGGGAAGTCGAGGCGCACCTGCGCTGCTCTACTGCGTGGACCCGATTGGCCTGTGCACTGAGGGTCACCCTCAGCCTTCTCTCCCGGGGCTTCCTAACCCAAACCTCTCTAGGAAACCCTGCAGGGCCGCTCCTCCTGGGACCCTCAGGGTGGGCCCTACTCCTGTGCTGTGTCTGGTGGGAGCACCCCCCCCACCCTGGGGGGACTCTTGTTGATAACTGTAGCTTGTGCTTTTCTTTCTTCTTTTTAAACAATTTATGCGAAAGGCAGAGAAATAGAGAGATCTCCCATCTGCTGATACGCTCCCCAAATGCCCGCCGCAGCCAGGGCTGGGCCAGGCCGAAGCTAGAAGCGGGAATTAGATCCAGGGACCCAGGTACTGGAGCCAGCACTGCTGCCTCCCAGGGTGAGCGTTAGGAGGAGCCTGGGATCGGAAGTGGAGCCGGAACTGCAACCCAGGCGCTGGGACAGGGCCGCATGGGCTGCACGCTGGTGCCCGGTGCTTGTCTGCCTAGCACTTGGTCCCTACGTGCAGCCGTGTTTATCCCACCTGCTGCTGAGGTGCAGGGGCAGGGCAGTGCCCCTGTCCCAGAGGCGCCGCTGGCTGCGCCGCTCCACCAGCTGTCCTGGGCACGTGGGGGCTGTTGGGCATGACTGATCAGACTTGCCTTGGTAACCTGGGGCCTGCTCCCGGCTAAGGTGTTGGCACCCTGCCCAGGGACCTTGCCCGTGAAGAGCCCCAGCCTGGCTGGAGAGGTCCCGAGGCTGTGAGAAATCAGGAGGGGAGCCTGCCCCACAGGGCATCAAGACAAAGTTGGGGGACTGCTGCCTGAGACGCCAGCATCTCATATGGGCGCCGGTTCGTGTCTCAGCTGCTCCACTTCTGAACCAGCTCCCTGCTAATGGTCTGGGAAAAGCAGCAGAGGGTGGGCCAAGTGCTTGGGGCCCTGCACCCACGTGGGAGACCCAGAAGAAGCTCCTGGCTCCTGGCTTCGGCCTGGCACAGCCACAGCTGTGGCAGCCATTTGGAGAGTGAACCAGGGGTTGGAAGACCTCTCTGTCTCTTCTTTATGTCTCTTGTAACTCTGACTTTCAAATAAATAATTAAAAAAAAGAAGACAGTAAGGGAGAGAGAAGGGTGATCCAGGAGGGCTGCCCTGAGGAGGTGACGTTAGAGTAGAGCCTCAGAGGAGGAGGCCCTGTGCAGGTAGGGGGAGGAACGTTCCAGGCCAGGGGCAGCGGAGGGTGTGTGCTGTCGGGGAGTGAGCGTGAAGAGGAGGCGGTGAGGGTCCCCCGAGGGACCTGGGTCGGCGCCTGGGCGTCCCAGTCCCACGTCACGCACACGTGTGTAACTGAAGCAGCTTCAGGGAGCAGCGCTTCCCCTGGGAACACGTGATGCGTGCACGTGCTTGCTCTCCCGCCCCGGCTTCTGAACGTGCCGTGTGCCGTCACTGCCCGATTTCAGGGCCCGCCAGCGGGCTGCCACCGAGGTTTGGTCAGTGCCGGTTTAGACTACACTGAGGCCGGGTTTGGTTTTTAAAGTTATCACAGTGAAACCAACCCCCCCCCCCCACAGTTCCCCAACTTCTTTATTTGAAAGGCGGAGGGAGGGAGGGGGAGGGGGGGAGAGGGTGAGAGAGAGAGAGAGAGAGAGAGAGAGAGGCCTTCCATCTGCTGATTCACTCCCCAGCTGCCTGCAGCTGTCTGGTCTGGGCCAGGTTGAAGCCAGGAGCCGGGAGCTCACTCCATCCTGGTCTCCCAGGTGGGGGGCGGGGACCCAGATACCTGGGGCCATCACCTGTGGCCTCCCAGTGGACTTCAGCCGGGAGCTGGATTGGCGCTGCCCCGGGGGACGTGGGTCTCCCTGCAGGGTGTCCACCTCTGGGGTTGTGCTGTGATGGACGGTGCACAGCAGACCCCAGGGAGTCAGAGGACTGCAGCTGAGTCTCACAGGAGCCCAGGTCGAGGTGGGGTGGGGGAGGGCCCTGCCCCCGCCCTCCCTGTCACCCTGGGCACTGCCTCCCCCCACCCCCGCACGGTCCCTTTATTCCCCCTCCCCCTGCGCCCCCCCCCCAAGGAAGGCGGGAGGCGGCGCCCTGTGCCCTGTGCTGTTGCCTTCTTGTTCCCCTCGGCTCCCCGCAGTGGGAGTTCCCCCTCCCCTGCCCCACTTTACTGAGCTCAGCGGGGCCGGGCGCCTTGCCCTCCGCATGTGGCCAGCCATGCAGCTCCCAGCACACCCCTGTGCCCGGCCCTCCTCCAGGGTCTCCACGTGCCTCAGGGCCCCTCTCCTGTCTCTTGGCAGCTGGCGTGTCACCCCCCAGAAGGGACCCGGCAGCCTCCTCTCTGCCAGCTCTAGCGCCCCCTACAGAGCATCCGGGAGAGGAGACTCAGGTAGGCAGGCGGGGGGGGGGGGGCAGCTGTCATGGCGGCGACTGTCACGCGGACACGCTGGTCCTGCTGGCTCAGAGGATGTTCTCTGCCCTCGTCCCCGTGGGTCAGGGTGCCCTCCCGATTCCTGATGCAGCGTGACGGTTCAGTTCCGCAGGCAGCTCGGGGAGGTGGGTGCTGCAGGCCCCGAAACGCAGATGAGGAACCTAGGCTCAGGGAGGTTTAGTCATTTGCCCAAGGTCACTCAGCAGGGAAGCGGGGGCCGTGCTGCCTGTTCCAAAAAGCTTAGAGGAAGTGAGAGCAGCGCTTTGTACTGAGGGGCTCCGGGGAGGCTGGGATGGAGGCTGGCAGGGCTGTACCAGTCCAGTTTCCCCCGGGGGGATCCCAAGGCCCAGAGACTCGGGCAGCTGGCTCAAGGTCCCAGAGCTGGGAAAGGGAGAAGACAGATGAGGTGGGCCCAGGAGGCCAGTGGTCTGTCAGTCCCAAAGGGGAGGGCCCCAGGAACCAGGAACCACAGGTTTCCATCCTGGCCCCGGGCCTTGAGCGAGTCTCCCCCCTTTCTGCCCTTGGCTCCCGCAGGTGGGGGCAGGAGGCAGCCTGCTGTCCTCTGCCCTCTGCATCACCACCAGGAAGCTTGGCGCACAGGGGAGGAGGGGGACAGGGGGAGTGTTCTGGAACAGGGTGGCTGTGACCGGGCCCCCACCCCCTCTCCGCCTGTCCTGTGCCCTGCAGGTCGAGCAGCTCTCCTCGGGCAGCCTGTCGGAGCAGGGCACCCACCGGACTCCCAGCAGCACCTGCGCGGCCTGCCGGCAGCACGTGCACCTGGTGCAGCGGTACCTGGTGGAGGGCAGGCTCTACCATCGGCACTGCTTCCGGTGAGTGGCCAGGAGAGCTGGGGCAGGAGCCTGTTCCTACCATCCCCAGAGCCAGGGACTCGGCACCCACGCGTGGCTCATTCCCACTTCATCCATGAGCTCCCAGCAGCCCAAGCTCTTTGAGGATGGCTACCTGTTGATGATTAGGGATCATCAAATACTTTTTTTTAAAAATCTTTTCTTTTTTTTCTTTGTTTGAAAGGCAGAGTGACAGAGTATTTCTGGTTCACTCCTAAGTGGGACAAAGGCCAGGGCTAGGTCAGGCCAAAGCCAGGAGCCCAGAACTCCGTCTAGGTCTCCGACCACCCGGGCCGTCTTCTGCTGCCTTCCCAGGTGCATTAGCAGGGAGCTGGATTGGAAGTGGAGCGGCCGGGACTTGAACCTGTGCTCATAGGGGTTGCTGGCACTGCAGGTGCCACTTAACCTGCTGTGCCACAGCACCAGCCACGGGAGCAGTGTGTACTTTAAATGCCACTGAGAAAAGGGAAGAATTTTTTTAAAACCATGATAAGAACTTGCTTTAAGGGGAGTGAACCTGTGGATGGAAGATCCCTCGTTCTCTGTAACTCTGCCTTTCAGATAAATTTATTTTTTATTTATTTATTTATTTATTTATTTTTGACAGGCAGAGTGGACAGTGAGAGAGAGAGAGAGAGAGAGAGAGAAAGGTCTTCCTTTGCCGTTGGTTCACCCTCCAATGGCCGCCACGGCCAGCGCTCTGCAGCTGGCGAACCACGCTGATCCAATGGCAGGAGCCAGGAGCCAGGTGCTTTTCCTGGTCTCCCATGGGGTGCAGGGCCCAAGCACCTGGGCCATCTTCCACTGCACTCCCTGGCCACAGCAGAGAGCTGGCCTGGAAGAGGGGCAACCGGGACAGAATCCGGCGCCCCGACCGGGACTAGAACCCGGTGTGCTGGCGCTGCTAGGCGGAGGATTAGCCTAGTGAGCCGCGGCGCCGGCCGCCTTTCAGATAAATAAGTAAATCTTAAAAAAAAGTGAGAGAGAACTTTAAGTGTGTGACTCCCAGGGAAAGCCAGGCTTTAATAAAATGCACCAGGAGGCAAAGAAAATAAGAAACTTAGTAAATTAATGAAAACATCGTATACGTCACCAAAACAGCCCAACCAAAAACAGCAGAGAAGGAAACGGAACGGCCAGGAGAGGCCGACGACTGGCTTCCAGCCTGCACCTGCTGCGGGTTAGTGCGGTGCCTGCGAGGGGACCCAGCGCAGAACTGGGGCGTCCTGGGGAGGAGCCGCAGGTTGCAGTAAACGCACTCGCAAAGGAAGCCAGAGGCGCTCCCGGCACACACAGCCGTGACGGGAGCTTGAGTCTGCGCGTGCATGGCTGGAGGCAGGGTCTGGGAGAACGGCCGGACTTTGCCGCCTTCTAGACTCGGTTGGGTGAAAGCCATCGATTAGACTTCCTGCCACGGCCATGTGGCCACATGCGCACTGTGTGGCACCTCTGCCGGGGACCCCGGCTTCTTCCTCTTGCAGCGCACGCCGGAGGCGCGTTTCACAGTTCCTGTGGCCTATTGCACGTGACTTTAACTGTTCCACTCTGCTCCTGAGGGGTGCCATTTTCCTTTTCCTCTGGGAGGTGCAGGGCGCTGCGCTGGGGTCCCTCTGGCCGGCAGTTGGGAGGAGGGGCGGAGGGACAGCCAGTTGGGAGGAGGGGCGGAGGGACAGCCCAGCGAAGCCCCATCCTGTCACCCGGCAGGTGTCGGCAGTGTTCCAGCACCCTGCTCCCTGGGGCTTACAGGAGCGGGCCTGAGGAGGGCACCTTCGAGTGTGCAGAACACTGTGCCAGGCTGGGCCCAGGAGGACGACTGGGACCCAGGTCCGGGCCACCCACACAGCCAAGGCCGCCGCAGACCACTGAAGAGACCCAGGATGGGGAGGCAGGCAGCCCCGGCACTTGCGTGGCTGCAGGGGCCGAAGCAGATGAGCCCAAAGCCAGCCCTGAGGCCCGGCCCCAGATCGCCGCCAAGCCCCGGGTTCCCAGCAAATCCCAGGAGCTGACCAGCCCCCCAGCCGGCCGCCCCACGCCCGCCCCTAGGAAGGCGCCTGAGAGCCCAGCCCCGACGCCGCCGACGCCCCGGCCCCGGTCCAGCCTCCAGCAGGACGGCTCGGCGGAGCAGGCTGGCAGCAGTGGCCTTGTGAACGGTGAGCGAGGGCCCGGCTGGGGCGGGCAGCAGGTGCCGGTCTGCGTCCCTGTGCGTCGGGTGCACTGCTCGTGCTGAGTGGCGTGTGGCGTGTGCTGTGCGTGTGCTGGGGCGTCCTGTGTTTCTGAAGCTGGCGCTGCCTGTGGCAGAGCGTTCTCCAGCGGCTCTGTGTGCCGGGCTCTGTTCCCAGCGCCGGGCGCTTTCCGCTCCAGCGTGGGTTGGGACATTTGTGATGTTTGGTGTCCATCTTGTGTGCCCCAGGTCCAGGGTGAGTAGTGAGCGCACATCTGGGGACTGTGCATACTGGTGTCCTGGGCAGTCCCAGGCGTGCCCCAGGCGACCTCTTGTGCCCTACCTGGTGGCTGGGAGAGCTTGGGCTGGGGGAGGGCTGAGGGAGTGGCAGGGCGGGTGGCCTTGCTTGGGCTGCAGTGGGGACCCTGCCCACTCTCTCCCTGGCCCCGCTCTGCCTGGGTTTACCTGAACTCGGGGGACACACAGAGGATTGTAATACAACGTGCGCCGGGCAGCCAGCCCTTACCTTGTCAGGGAAGACGCTGGTGTCTGAGTCGGGGGGGAGCCTCCCTGGGCCTCCCTGGGGCTTGCACCGGGACCTCCCGTGTCCGGTTATGCTCAGTACTCACTGAGCTGGGCCCTGGGACCCAGTTACTGTTCAGACCTGGTTGTGCCTTCAAGGTGCTACCAGTGGGGCAGAGAGGCAGGGGTCTCAGGGTCTCAGGTAGATATGGAAGCCGTGTTCCAGTGGAGGGCAGGAGCAGGCGCTGCGTGGGATTCCCAGGGGACACCTGGAAGCCAGGGGAGCTTCCTGGAGGAGGTGGCGCCTGGTTGAGTTGAGATGCTATTTCCTAACTGCACATGCAAGCGGGGTCTCAGGTGGCCTGGCCTTGGCCCTCTGACCACTCTCCTGCTTACCTGGGCTGGAGTGCGAGGGTACAGGAGGCTGTCATGACCATCTAGAGGGGGCACTCCTGGGCGGGGCGGGCGCTGGGCCGCCCCCTGCTGGCTCCACAGGCCTGGCTCACTCTCCTTTCCCATCCAGGAAGACTGCACGAGCCCCCTGTCCCCAGGCCGAGGGGGACACCCAAGCTGTCAGAGAGGTAGGCTGGGCCCCGGGGGGCTTTCCTGCTCTGGGACAGAGGCCTTGCGTGGGCTCAGGATGGGGAGGGAGAGCTGGGCGTGCATCCCCTCCCCTGCACCCCCTCGGATTCCCGTCGCCGCTGCCGTGGGGGGCAGCCACCCTGGAACCACTTCCCCTCCGCGGGCCCCACTGGAAAGTCCTGGAAAAGCGCACCTGGTTCCCGGTCCCCCAGTCCCAGGCCCCCGCTTCACAGCCGAGCCCGGGTGCTTGCAGCCCTGCAGGGGGCGCTGTGCTGCCTGCTTGTCTGGGGGGAGGTGGGTGGGCCAGGGCTGCACCGCAGGTACCATTTGCAGTGGGCCCAGCCTGCGGCAGGTGCTCGGGTGGGGGACACCGTGGCTCCCTTGGGCCCTCAGTGGCCCCGTGCACGCGGGGATCTTAGTCCTATTGGGCACATGGAGAGACTGACAGGCCGGGTGACACCGCAGGGCCACACAGGCCCAGGGAGGCTCCTTTCCCTGGCCTCCTGGGTCCAGCGGGGATGTGACTGTAACGTCCCTTTCTGCCTTGGCCTGGATTGCCCCACAGGCCTGGGGGCGGGACAAGGGAAGGGGTGGTTTCTCACCGGCCCCTTGTGAAACGGGTTCAGAGCCTTCAGGAGAGAGCAGGAGGCCGCTGTCCAGCCTCCATGAATGGCTTCCTCTCCTTCCGCCTCCCTGCAGGACGCCGGCCCCCAGGAAGGACCCCCCCTGGATCACACTGGTGCAGGCGGAGCCCAAGAAGAAGCCGGCACCCCTGCCCCCAAGCGGCAGCCCTGCACCACCAAGGCGCGGCGGCCAACAGGGGGAGAGCGGAGGTGTGGACGAGGTGGCCCAGCAGAGCCCTGCGGCTGCCCAGGAGCCCAAGCCCTACAACCCCTTTGAGGAGGACGAGGAGCAGGAGCAGGAGCAGGGGGAGGAGTCCTCGGCGGCCCCCAGCCCTGGCCCTGCCCACCCAGAGGCCACACCCAAGTCCTTGCATCCCTGGTACGGCATCACCCCCACCAGCAGCCCCAAGACCAAGAAGCGCCCTGCCCCGCGAGCGCCCAGCGCGTCCCCGCTCGGTGAGTGCGAGTGCTGGAGCCCTGGCTCTGTCCCTGCCGGTGCCGGGTGGGGTAGGGGCCCCTCGGCAGACTGAATACCGCTGGGCTTCCCTGTGTCCTCTCACCTTGGAGAGGTGGAAAATCAATCCGAACCTCCTCTGTGGGTGGCGGGGACCCAAGTACTTGTGCCATCACCTGCCGCCTCCCTCCCAGGGTGCACGTTAGCGGGGAGCCGGAAACAGAAGTGGAGCCGGGACTCTAACCCAGGCCCTGCAGCATGGGATGCGGGCATCTCAGGCGGCGCCTTAGCCACCGTGCCAGATGCCCGCCTCTCCCAGTCCGCATGCCCTGGGCTTGGTCACCTTCCAGCACGGCTGGGGTCTGGCTGCCTCTGAGCTGGCTGGGGCCGAGAGCGTGTTAGACACGGCTGCGGTCGGGGTTTAGGTGGTCTCCCTGGAGCCCTGGGCCCCTGAGCCGTGCGTGGTCTGTGCGAGTAGAGGTAGGAGCGCAGGCAGGTTTGGGACGTGGCGGCAGGCCTGAGCTCTGGAGCCGGGCGCGTCTGGCTGCCAGGCCAGCCCTGGCGGGGGGAGGTGGCTTCTCCCCTCTGAAGCAACAGATCTCAGGCCGGTGACAGGCTTGGGAGCGTGGACTCGCCCCTGCAGGAGGATCCATGGCCCAGATCTGGCCACAGCGAGACTGCTCCTGCTCTCGCTCCCCCCACCCCCCGGCCTCCCTTGCGCCAGCTTTGCCTCTGGGCTCACTTGGGCGAGGGAGGGGGTGGAGGGGCAGAGCAGATGATGGGGGGGGGGGGACAGAGGACAGGTCAGGCGAGGCTGAGAGCCCTGCCTGGGCCCCTCACGCAACGCGCACTTGATCCTTCGCAGCTCTGCACGCCTCCCGCCTCTCGCACTCGGAGCCCCCATCGGCCACGCCATCGCCCGCGCTCAGCGTGGAGAGCCTGTCGTCCGAGAGCTGCAGCCAGAGTGGCAGGGCCCAGCTGCTAGAGCCTCCGGCTGTGCCCAAGAGCTCCTCGGAGCCTGCCGTGCACGCCCCCGGCGCCCCTGGCAACTCCGCCAACCTCTCCGCCGACTCCTCCCTGTCTTCCTCTGGGGAGCTGGCACAGCCCAGCGTGGAGCAGACGCCACAGGCTGGCCCCAGCCTTGCCCCCAGGACGCGGGGCGGCCCAGGGCCCCAGCCAGCCAAGCCGAGCAGTGGCGTCACCCCCAGCCCCCTCTCAGTGGCAGGAGACAGGAGCCCTGCGCCTTCGCCTGGAACCTCGTCCCCCCAGCTGCAGCTCAAGGTGAGTGCCCATTGCCCTCTCTGGCAGGCACGGGTCTGCTCTCGAGGGCAGGGATGTCCGGGCCTTCCCAGTGGTGCTGGCCTCTGACTTCTGGAGTGGCCTTGGCCATGGCCCTCATTGAGCACCCTGTTGAGGGAGGCACAGGTCTGCCTATCCGTCTCTTCACCTGTCTGCCAGGCCTCCCGCCTGTGGTTCACCTGTCCCCCTGCTGGGCCCTCCAGCTGTTGTACCTCCAGGCATGGTTTGCCTGCACACAGGCCCACCTGGGATCCATCAGCCCGCCCTCTGCAGCCCCACCCCCTGGGTCCACCATCCGGACCCCCATTCACCCCGGCCAGGCCCTGGCCAGAGTTACACTAAGACCATGTCCTCGCCCTCCTGCTCAGTCTGCTCAGGGAGACAGGCAGCATGAATGTTCTAGAAGGTGGTCAGGTGACACAGAGTGGAGGGGAGCGGCTGGGGCTCACTGGGCACTCCCGTGTGGGCTGCCTGGACTCAAGATGGTGGGACGTGCTGGCCCCGTCCGCATGGTGCTCACAGCCAGGTTGGGGGAGGTGCTGGAGCTAGTGTGGGCGGGGTCAGCCCTCACCAGGCTGCAGGTGTGTGTCCTGCAGGGGGCTGCAGGGAAAGACAGGGACACCCTGTCCCCAGGTGTCCACCCCCTGACTGGGCTCTGTCACCTCTTAGTGCTGGTGGTGGACTGGGCATGAGGCAGCTCTGGCCAAGGGTCCCTCTTGGGCAGGCTGTGCGTGTGTGTGTGTGTGTGCGTGTGTGTTTCCATTTTCATTTTAATCAAAAGGAAGAGAAGAGAGAGAAAGAGAGATTGTCCACGTGCTAGCTCATTCCCCAAATGCCCGCAACAGCCAGGGCTAGGCCAGGCCCAGGCTAGGCGCCCGGAAGCCAGGCTGGGTGTCCCACACAGGCCAGGGGCCCAGGCATTTGAGCCAGGGTCTGCCGCCTCCCGGCACGTGCGTCCACAAGATCAGAGCAGCTGGGCACAGACCAGGCTCTCTGATACGGGACGCAGACGTCGCGAGCGGTGGCTTACGTGTGTGCCCAACGCCCAGCCTCAGATGGCTCCTCTGCAGCCGCCTGTGCGCTGTGGGCGGTGGGCGGTGGGCTGTGCGCGGCGGGCTGTGTGCTGTGGGCGGTGGGCTGTGCATGGTGGGCTGTGTGCTGTGGGCGGTGGGCTGTGCGCGGCAGGCTGTGCGCAGTGGGCGGTGGGCTGTATGCTGTGGGTGGTGGGCTGTGCTCGGTGGGCTGTGCGCTGTGGGTGGTGGGACGTGGGCTGTGCACTGTGCGCTGTGGGCGGTGGGCTGTGCTCGGTGGGCTTTTTCTCTGCTCCATGCCAACAGCCTGGGGTTGCTGGGGTCAGGAGTCCCCCTGGGCTCCCCTTGGTGAAGGGGCCGCTCCCGTGCCACCCTCCGCAGGTTCCCGGTGCCCAAGGCCTGTAGCACACAGGCACCTGCAGATGCCAGCCGTGCAGGGTGCAAGGCGGCCCTCGGTCTGGCCCTAACCCTGCGCCTTGCAGACATCACTCAGCCTTCCCTGGCCCCTGTGTGCCGACTCCTGCTCTGCCTGCACCTCCCCCCCACCCCAGCTTCCCCTCGCTAGTGAGAGGAGCCCCTGGGCTCCTGGGTGTGGGAGGGTGGGGGCGGGGCCCTGGGGCTGTAGCCAACATTGATTTGCAGGAGCTGTGGCCAGGAAAGCCTGAAAACCCTGGAGGGGGAGGCTTTGGGCTTTGTGGCCCAGCTGGGCCCCCCGGGGTTTGTGGTGGGAGGGGCAGATCCCCAGCAGAGCTTCCTTTGGGGGGGGCTCCATCCCGCCCTCCCCAGGGTTCAGAGAGAATCTCAAAGGCCCTGGTTCCAGCCCCAGCCCCAGCCCCAGCCCCAGCGCATCTGGCGGGGCTGCCCTCTGGGAAGCAAACACACTGCCTGCCCTGCTCCACCCCAGCACTGTCCCTGCCTCGGAAACCGGAGCCCACCCCCAGCCTGCAAGAATCTCCCCCAGCCCCAGTCTGCAAGAATCTCCCCCAGCCCGGCTGCTGGGAGGAGGCTGGGTCACTTGGGCACTCCCAGCCGCCGTGCTGACGAGCGGGGAGCATAGGTAGCTATGGCCGCTGTGTGGTGTCAGGGCCTTGCGTGCCCCAGAGGCGGTGCCGCCCGGCTGGCCTGGCCTCAGAGACGGGAGGGGTCTCCCCAGAAGGATGCAGAGCCTGGGCTCATCAAGTGCAAAGGCGGCGGGAGCCCCGGAGACGCAGGACGGAACACAGTGGGTGCGGCATCAGTGCGGCCCTGGCGCCTGGGAGAGCTCTGGAAGTGGAAACGTTTCTTCAGGGCGGCGGAGCCGGCATTCGGGGCGCTGTCTGCCGCCCCCCCCCCATCCCGGGCCTGCGGCCCTCCCTGCTCCCCGCAGGTCCACGCCATCAGCTGCGGGGGCTCGCGGCCCCCTCCCCCGACTCACCCTGCCTTATCTCCCTGCCTCCAGTCTTCCTGCAAGGAGAATCCTTTTAACCGGAAGCCATCCCCTGCCGCGTCCCCAGCCACCAAGAAGGCCACCAAAGGATCCAAGCCAGTGAGGCCACCTGCCCCGGGCCACGGCTTCCCACTCATCAAACGCAAGGTGCCCAGGGGGAGCGCCCGGCCGCCAGCCGGCCTGGGTCCCACACCCTCCCTTCCCAGCTTCAGGCTGCCCGAGGGAGTCCCTCGAGGCTGGGCCGTCCGGGCCGCTGCCCTCGGATGTCCAGGAGGGGCCCTGGGGGGCCACCTGGGAGGCGGAGCGTCCAGCCCCGGGGACTGAGGGCAGGGCAGGGGTGGCGCGGTCACCGTGTCGCTCACAATAGCCCAAGTGTCAGGCGCTCCCATGGCGGAAGTCTCCTTAGACTGGTTAGAATGTTCCAGAGCGCCAGAGAGGGGGAGGGGTTTCCAGGGAGGGCAGGGGCGGTGCATGGAGGGGCGGGGCTGCCTGCATGCCCACACCTGCCCCAGCCTGGGGTGCAGGCCCCGGGAGCCTGCCGTGACCAGCGCAGCGTGCCCCGGGGCAGGTGCAGGCTGACCAGCACATCCCCGAGGAGGACATCCACGGAGAGATGGACACCATCGAGCGCCAGCTGGATGCCCTGGAGCACCGCGGGGTCGCGCTGGAGGAGAGGCTGCGCGGTGGCGGGAGCGGTGAGGGCCCCGGGGAGGGCCTGGCCAGTGGGCCGGGGTGGCGGGGAGCCGAGCTGGGACCCCCGGCAGCCCCGGCCTTGCTGGTGTCTGGTTCCAGAGGGCTGTGAGGACGACATGCTGGTGGACTGGTTCAGGCTCATCCACGAGAAGCACCTGCTGGTGCGGCGGGAGTCGGAGCTCATCTACGTGTGAGTGCCCCTCCCCCGGGCCCGGGGTCCTCCTGGCTCAGCACCGGCCCGCAGCCTTGTTAACGGCCGCCCTCTGCACGCCCCGCAGCTTCAAGCAGCAGCACCTGGAGCAGCGCCAGGCCGACGTGGAGTATGAGCTCCGCTGCCTCCTCAACAAGCCGGGTGAGTGCAGCCGCGCCTGGCTGGGGACGGGGCCGGGGCGGGGCTGGGCGGGGGGGCGCCTCTGAGGATGCAGGCAGGGACCCGCGGGGCCCTGCAGAGCACAGAGCGGGGGGCCAGGGCTTTGCGCACTCCTGTGGCCCAGCACGCCCCCGCCACGTCTCTGACGCGGGGACAGCGGTCGGGCCCCTGCGCCCGCGGGGGGAAGCCCCAGGACTTCCCAGGCCTCCCTGATCTCCAGGAGGCTGGGCGTGGCCAGGGCTCAGAGGGAGCCGCAGCGACACCCTGTGGCCAGAGTGGGTGTAGCTGGGCTTGTCCGGCCCCCTGTGGCGGCCGCACATCCTAAGCTCCTGGACCTGCCCCCATGCTGCAAGGCTGATGGTGTTCCTCCTGTGGGAGGACACCTGGGGCTCTGGCCGTCTCCCCATCCTGCCCCCTGAAGCCTCGCGCACTTCTGTCGCCTGCATGAGTGAGCACTCGCAGGACCCCTGGAAACACGTGCTGGGCCCCCTGAGGGGCTTTGTGGGTAGCGGCCTTGTATCCTTGTCTCTTCTAAAAATTTATTTATTTATTTGAGAGGTAGAGTCACAGACAGAGAGAGGGAGAGACAGAGATATTAGGTTCCATCCGCTGGTTCACTCCCCAAATGGCCACAACAGCCAGAGCTGGGCCGATGTGAAGCCAGGAGCCAGGAGCGTCTTCCAGTTCTCCCACATGGGCACAGGGGCCATTCGGAAGTCGAGCAGCCAGGACGAGAACCGGCACCCAAATGGGATGCCGGTGCCACAGGCAGAGGCTTAACCCAGAGCCACGGTGCCGGGCCCATCCTTGGATCTTCATTTCCCGGAGAACTTGCAGCCCCACCCAGCTGGGCCCCGCCTCTCTGCACCTGGTACCTAGCTCGGAGCTGCCCCCCCCCCCCCGCACTCGGGCACTGGCCTCCGGCATCCTGGGGCGGAAGAGGGTTCTCCCACTGCTCACGCCGCTGACTCTCCTCCCTGGGCAGAGAAGGACTGGACGGAGGAGGACCGGCTGCGGGAGAAGGTGCTGATGCAGGAGCTTGTCACCCTCATTGAGCAGCGCAACGCCATCGTCAACTGCTTGGACGAGGACCGGCAGAGGTGCTGGGCGGGGAGGGGCCGCGGGCGGGGCCCAGTCAGGCCCGGCCAGCACAGCCCGCCCCGGCCCTTGGTGGCCCTGGCCGCTGGAAGGGACGCGGGGATGGTCTGGCCCTTGCTCCTCGGGGCACTCGAGCTTCCCGTTCTCACTCCAGGGAGGAAGAGGAAGATAAGATGTTGGAAGCCATGATCAGGAAGAAAGGTGAGGCCCACAAGAACTCCTGTGTGCTTTCAGCTGGGGGAGGGGGAGTGGAGGGGGCACCGCTGCATGGCTGTGCGCCGACGCCTTAGCCTGGTCTTGCTGGGAAGGCTGTGCGTGGTAAGGGAGGCCAGTCCCCAGCTGGGAAGGCCGTGGCCGGCTTGGAGGACGACTGTGGGGCACCCTGATGGCCACAGGGAGGACTGGTCTGTTGGGGAGTTGGAGCAGGGGCTGCGGGTTGACAGTGTGCCTGGATCGGACCGTCCGATCTGCCGTCCCGGGCTCCTGGGGTTTTACTTAGTTCCAGTGGTGACTCACTCTGTGGCCTTGTGGGTAAGTTGTGACTCAGGCCGGAGTCTGACCACGCGGCTTCCAGCCACAGCTCTTGGCACGGATGGGCTGGGCGCCGGGGCCAACCTCTCCGCATCCGAGGTGCTGGGGTGGTGGCGGCCGCCCTCCCGCCGTGCGCTCCGCACTTAGTCCAGGGCCTGGCGCCCACAGATGGTGCCGGTGGTGCGAGCCTGTTCCAGAGGCCGACGCTCCCTTGCCGACGCTCGGTGTCGGAGAGGTGCTTTCTGAGGTTCCTCCCCGCGTGGCAGCTGGCGTTTGCATTGGAACCAGGCGCTGTGAGCCCCAGGCCGGGAGGATCAGGCTGGCCCGGCCTGTGTCTCCTGGCCCCTGGGGAGGACGCTTCCCCGGCTCCAGAGCGATGGGGGAGGCCGGGAAGGTGTGAAGGGACCCCCGAGCCCTGCTGGCTGGCATCTGCCCCGGAAAGACCGCCTCCCCCTCCTTACTTCATCGCCTGTCCCCCTTCCTCTTCCTCAGAGTTCCAGAGGGAGGCGGAGCCCGAGAGCAGGAAGAAGGGGAAGTTCAAGACCATGAAGGTGCTGAAGCTGCTAGGGAACAAGCGTGCCACCAAGAGCCAGGCCCCCGGCGACAGGAGCTAGCGGGCGGGAGCCGCCCCGTCAGCCGCCCCCGGGGAGATGGCCCTGGGCGGGCAGCCTGCGGTGCGGCCTCCCCTCCTCAGGTCCGCCGGCTGGTCCCCGTTCTCCGCCGCGGGCAGCCGGGACTCAGCCCCGCCTCACTGGCCTCTGAGAACTGCACCCGCCCGGTCAGGAGCAGAGGCAGGGTGGGCGCGGGGCCCCGTCTCCCTGGCCAGCGCAGGCCCCCGCACCCCCTCGCTCGGGCGCGTTTGTGAAGTCTCTGGTTCGGCCTGAGTTAGCTGCCCGGTGGGCCGCGCTGTGGCAGGCAGGAGTGAGCCTGGCCCGCACGTGCCTCCTCTCCCCAGCTGCAGGGAAACCCGCTCCCCGCAGCGCAGGGCTGCAGGGCCGTGCTGGGGCAGGGGCTGCCCCGTTAACAACCCCGCGGGGAGCAGCGGGCCCTGGCCGCTACCGTGCTGACGTAGGTGCTAACCCTGGTCTGTCCTGTCGGCTGGCCCTCGCTTCGGCTTCCTCTTGTGCCCCCGGCCCAGCGAGAGGCACCTGTGGGGTCATCGCTAGCCTGTCTCCTCTGGCGAGGGACTGCAGGCCACTCGGCCACCTGGAGGGCCGTGGGAGGGGAGGGGTCGTGGCCTTCCCGGGACATGAGCCGCAGCTGTGCATCCGAGCACTGTGCCCTATGCTGTCGCCGGGATGCCCCCGGGCCCCCAGCTGCCCTCTCTTCTGTGAGGACACCACGCCGATGAACTGTCACTGGCCCTCACCAGGAATCCACGGAGACCACTCAGGCCACGGCCACGCCTGCCCTCCTGCCTACCCCTGCCGCACCTCGTGGCCAGGTGTCCCAGGCTGCCCTGAAGGACCTGGGCCACGCTGGGGTGGTTTACCTAGAGCAGGGCGGGGGACCTGTGTGCGCCGAGGGCCACCTCGCTATCGCTGGGTATCGAGCCGTCGTTCGTGAGCCTACAAAATGATCAACTGAAAACAGAGCCTGCTATGGATGTTAATTTCTAGTCCCACCCGCGGTTGCCTGGGCAGGGCCAGACCAGGTGATTCTGTGGGCCTTCTACAGCCCCCGGCTCTGATGGTCCCCTGCCCCGGAAGAGGGCCCTCAAAGGGAGCCGTCTCCTTCCAAACGTGCCGGGTGACATGGCCATCTCCAAGGCCTGTGGGGACAGCAGGCAACAGAGGTGAAGCCGGCTGCGTGTAACCTGAGGGTTGGCTCAGCATCAGGAGGTGAGTGGTGGGGCAGCCGAGCCCCGTGTCGGCGGCTGGAGCTGGAGCTGGCGGGCACGAGAGCACGGGCCCAGGGAGGCCGGGCCTTTCCCTGCAGACGGTGTGTGCGTGCATGTGTGTGCGTGTGCGCGCGCGAGTGCTGACAGCCCACGTGCTGAAGTGGGGGCTGTCGGGCCGGGCTGTCGTCCGGGGGCAGGGCCGTCAGGGTGGACGGCGGCTGGCCCGCCACGCTGCACCTCCGCCCGCAGGTTCCTGTGGGTGTGTGGACGGAGGCTTCCCCCGAGCCAGCACTTACCCTGTTGGTTGTGCACACTGCAGCGTGCCTACACAGCCAGGAAGTGGTGGCTGAAAACCCACAGTGGTTTGCTGATGTGGGGGGACAGGACAGGAGAAGGCAGCAGGCAGGGCGTGTGGGTGTCGGCAGCCTGGGGCCCGGGCAGGTGGGGGCTGCCTTCCTTGTCAGCCAGTCCTCCCAGCAGCACTGGGGGGGAGGGGGGCGGGGCTTGCAGATGCAGACGGGGCTGGGGCCATGGGTTTTCTCAAGGTCACGAGTGCATGCTGGGAGTGGAACTCCTGAGCCAGGCTCTTCCAGCAGGTTGCCTAGGCTGTAAAGCTAACTTAGCCCTGAGTGGCCACTTGCTAGTTCAGTGCCCTTGGCTGCAAGACCTTGAGAGCTTTATTTTCTACCACCATTATCTCAAGTTTACAGAAATTCAAGTGCTCCTGAGTGTTGCTTCATTGGCACTCGAAACGTCCCAGTAGGTCGCTGGACACGCACCTGTGCAGGGGTGTCACTCACTGAATAAGCCTTAGCCCTCTGAAAACAAGGCAGTGCGTGCGGTGACCCAAGTTAAATGTATTCTATTGGTCAATTAGTTGTCAAACATTTGCCCAAGGCTGTATGAAGTCTAATTCGTTGGTCCTAAGATAGGTGTGATGAAAGGAATTGTTTTCATTCCCGGATGCACAGGCTGGAGGGGGTGGGAAGGAGGAGAGCCCCTGGGTGACCTTGGACAAGGTCGCAGGACGTGGGCGTGGCTTTCGCTGTGACTGGGGCCCTTTTCCCGAGAAACCGTTCAGTCTGTCTGAGGCTGCAGGTCTCAGTGGCTCCGAGAGTAGGGCTGTGGTGTCCCTGGGCAGCGTCCAGGGTGCTGTGGGCACCCTGGGCTCCCCCAGGCAGGGCAGTGCTGTGTGGCCATGCGACATGGCTGGAAGCCAGAGTGGCTGGGCTGACTGGGTGATGACCCTGCGTGGCGAGGGGTAGGTCCAGTGGCCAAGGCCGGGCTCCGGGGCTGACTAAGCGATGGCAACAGCCCTCCGAAGCTCCTCGCTCCGCTTGCGGTCAATGTCTTCCATCTCCCGCAGTTTCTGCAAAGGGCAACAGGGAGCTGGTGTCGGGGCTGGAGCTCGGGGGGCCAGAGTGTGGCCCCGAGAGCCGCGGCTGCCCCCGGCCCGCCTGTCCTCGCGTCTCTGGCCCCACACTTGGGTGCGGCTCCCCGATGCTGTCTCCTACCTGGGAGATCTCGGCGAGGATGATGGCTCGGTACTGCTTGCCCTGTCCCAGAGCCTCCATGGCGGCCAGGAATTCTCTCCTCTCCTGGATTTCCTTCACCACTGCACAGGGGGGAGGGCCCTCAGTGCCCGGGCTGGGGGGCCTGTGGGGCGGTCCCGCAGCCCCCCAGGGGCTCACATTCTTCAAAGCGGTCCAGCTCGGGGCCCGGGTCCTGCCGCACCGGGGGTGCCTTTCTCCTCCGTTCCTCTGTGTCCTTCCCCGTGGCAAAGAGGTCTTGGAGTCTCCGCTTCTCCTTCTCCAGGTCTCCTGGGGGGCCCAGAAGTGGCCAGGGAGGGTGCGAGGGGCGCCCCCTGCACGCTGCAGGGGGCCTGGGCTGTGCAGGCCCCGCCCCTTCTCCCCTGGGGGCACCTGAGCTTGTGAGAGGGGCAGGAAGAGACAAACCCACAGCTGCTCTGGCACGGGCCAGGCTGTGGAAACAGGCCTGAGCCCTGGGCGGGGCCAGCAGTGACGTCAGAAACCAAGGGACAAGGGACAAGGCTGGAGCATGGGGCTGCCCAATCTGGGGACCGCGGGGCTGCTGGGCAGAGACCGGCAGGGTCCAGCTAACTGTGAAAATTTCTTGGGGGAAAAAAAGAGGAACGGGCCCTCTGTCCCCCGCAGCCAGCTCCCTTTGTCCGACTACCTCCGAACACCAGCAGTGGGCACGAGAGCGTTAGTACAAAGGCGGCCTGATTCCATGCGGCCTCCCCTGCCCCGTGGCTGCCGCCCCCACACGCGCGCGTGTGTGCACGCACACACACACGCACACACACGCACACGTACGCACGGCAGGCCCTCGCTGGGGCCCTGGCACTCACTCGTGGCCCGAGGCTTGAACTGCTCCCGGCTGTAGGCCCCGTTGGCTTGGCAGAGGCTCGCGGGCCGCAGGTGGGTCCTGGCTGCCAGGATGGGGGGCAGGTAGATGGCCGGGGCCGGCTGCTTGCAAGGTGAGCCCCTCTGGCTGGACGTAGGGCTGCACTGCAGGGGCAAGGCTCCCCCTCCTAGGGGAGGGAGGGTCCGGTGGGAGGAGCCCCCTGGCTGGTCTGTGTCAGGCCCACCCTCTGCGGGGCCGTGTCACTGTGCAGAGGTCCCGGGCAGGGAGAGTCTTTTGTTTCCAAACACTGGATTATGCTCTACTCAATTCAGTAACAGGCTCTTTCCACTTAAAGTGCATCAGACACCTTTCCAGGACACTCCCAAGTGTAACTTATTTTTATAGCTATTTACCAGTCCTTAGTGTGCACCTGATTTATTCCGCTGGCCTCTGAGTTTCAGAAACTTCAGGTTGTTCTTCCCAGGTGTGTGTGTTTTTGTTTGTTTGTTTCTTTTTTACTACTTCAAACAATGCTGCAATAAACATCTTTTATGTCAAAGTCTGTGTTGGCGCTTTTAATTCTGTAGATAACTTCTTAAACTTGCTGCTTGGGCCACAGGCAGAGAGGGACAACGTGGACGGTGATGGACACCTGTCCCTCCTGCTGTCTGCTCCCTCCCCACTGGCCTCCTCCCCCAGGCCAGCCAAGCTTGCCACTTCCTGTCTGGCCAGTTCCGGTCAGCACGGAGGTACCAGGCATCTCTGTGCCAAGCCCTGGACACCGAGGGGGAAGACAAGTCCCGCCCTCCCGGGGCTCACGCTGGGGTCAGGTGACGATAGGTGGTGTCCTCAACACCAGTGCCTCGTGGATTTCAGCGCTAGGAGGTGGCCAGGGGAGGCCTCATGGAGGCAACACTTGAGGACAGACCCAAGCTTTGCAGGCATCTGGGGGAAGGCGCTCCAGGCCGAGGGAACGGTGGCAGCCAAGCCCAGAGCCCGCACAGTGCCCCAGGAGCTGCCAGAAAGCCAAGGGCAGCAGAGGTCAGAGGTCATGGAAAGACGCCTCTACTATGTGTGAAATGGGATGCCAGGATGAGGTTTTGAGGAGAGGAGTGATCCTTGAGCTGTGCCAGGGTCAAGGCCACTCAGGTAGTGTGGAAGGCCCATGGGGACCTGGGCAGCCAGAGGAGGCACAGGGTCAGCAGATAGGCCGGTGCGCTGGAGGTGGGGTTGGGGCGGCTCCAGGGCACTGAGGAGCTGGAAGCTGGCACCGGAGCTGGGTCAGGCCTGCCTTCCTCCGAGTCCTCCGGCCCCCGCCCCCGCCCCCGCCCCACTCCTGCTTGTGCCCCTCCCTTTGGCCCACTCCCAGCAAATGATCCCGGCCTAGGTAATTCTGGGCATCAGGTTAAGGAAGGGGGATTTGTGGCTTGCCGTGGAATTTAGATTAAGCTCCCAGACAGTGAGCAGGATTCTGCTGAGAGGAGAGAAGCAGGGAGGGGCGGGGTTCTAAGAGAATCCCTGGGACATTCTGCCTGCAGTTCTGCGGGGCCACCAGCTGAGGAGCCTGCCGAGTGTGGGGACTGAGCTCCACGAGTCACATGGGGGACAGCACTGGCCTTTGGCCACCGAGTTGTCCTCCGACCCTGAACTAGCCTGACACGCCTCCCCCCGGCGGCCAGTGCTGGACAGGTGCTCCGGGACCTGCCTCTCCCTCTCCGATGCCCTCCCGACCGGCTCAAGTCCTTCCTTGGAGAAGGCAGCAGCTTTTGATGGAGTGAATACGACTCCTCTAGCCTCTCCCTCTTACATGGACGTCCACACGGGGCTCTGTTCAGGGCCACTCAGTGAGGTCACAGGAAGTCAGAGTTGTTTCCAAGATCCCGGGGGGCGCCCTGCTATTGTTCTAGAACACCCACTGCCGCTGTGGCAAGGCCCTGCCTGTCCTTCCCGGGTGTGGGATTCAGACCTCCTTTTGTTTCTGCTGGCTCCCGGGAGCGGGAGACACAGGAGGAAGACACAGGCACATTTCCTGGGGACGCATTCGTGGGGTCCCACACCCCTCCGCCCAGGAAGACTGTGGACTGCCCCTTACTTTTCATGGTGTCCCTGATGTGGCGCTGCTGGAAGTTGGTCAGCTTGGATTCTTTCATCATCACTGCAAGACACAGACGCTTCCATGAGGCCATCCCTCCATGGCCACTGGAATGTCAAATTGTATCATTCTTATCTCCGCTCTCTACAGAAAGTTTTGAATGGGAGGGAGGGAGGGGGAGGGAGAGAGGAAGAGAGGGAGGGAGAGAGAGAGAGAGAGAGAGAGAGACACCGGAGCTGGGCTGAAGCTGGAAGCTGAGAACTCTACCCAGGTGCCCACGTGGGTGACAGGAGCCCAGTTACTTGAGCCACCACCATTCCCTCCCTGAGCCCCCGGTAGCAGGAAGCCGGAGCCAGGAGCCGCTACTGACACTGAGTTCCCTGCCTACGGAGCGCTCCCTCTCCGTCTCCGGGTTCCTGATCTCACAGACTCATCTCCACCTAAGAGCTGTTACATTCATCTGCTCATGATGTGGTGCACTCTGCTCTACCGAGCAAGGGTTTCTCCCGTTCTGGGCTGAGAGCCCCAGCACCGAGCAGTGTTGAAAGCTTTGCATTTTTGTTGCTGTCAATACTTGTTCATTCAGGTGCCAGTGCTGGAGCCACAGGTCTGAGGCAGACTCCTGCCTGGTGGGATTTAGGATCTAGGGGAGCGGGCAGAACCCTGACGATCCGACCACAGGTTGAGCTAAGTCCAGCGCAGGAAGAGGTTATCTCGGGTGCGAGGGCCAACTCAGGTCCCGGCCTGGCCGCGGTGCGGGGAGCTTCGGCCTCCCTGGGAAAGGGCGGGTGGGAGGCACCCGGGCTGACTCTACAGTCTCAGCTCTGCCTTTTGGCCCCGTGCAAGCGCCAGCACCCTGCGCCTTGCCGCATCCCGGGCTCCCTGTTTGCAAAGGAGAGCAGCGACTGCGAGAGCTGAGTCAGGGAGCAAAGCTGTCACCATCGCCCTTCTCGCTGCCTTTAACGCTGACCTCGGAGCAGCTCGCAGGTCCCCGGGGTGTACGTGGCCGGCTTGGGGCAGCGCCAGGGCTCCGCTCCTTTGGTCACCGCCTCCACCGTCTCCCGCGAAGCCACAGGAGGACCCTAAGGGAAGGAGAGACGCCACGTCGCACCCCGGCCCTGACCCGCAACCTCTGCTCCCGCAAGCCCCCAGGCCCCGGAAACCTGGGAGCAGGGGTCGGGCCGCACGGAATCGTGACGTCACCGGCGCCTACGGACTCAGTGCCCCACCCTCTCACCCCGACACGCGGGCTGGTACACATCGAATCCTTATGCTTCATCCTGACGCGCTCGGGCGGCGCCCCGCTGCCCGCTGAGAGCGGCAGGGGCGCTCCCGCAGACGGAGACCCCGCTCCGCTACGGCACCCGCGCCAGCGCCCAGCAGAAACAGCGCGGTCCGGGAGACGCGCTCCGGCAACGCGGCCCTGGCTACCATGGCAACGAGGCGCGTCACTCGCGCATGCGCATATTCCCCCTTCCGGCCCGCCTGCCGGAAGGGGTTTTTCTCTGGGTCACGGCGCAGGCGCGGAATAGGCGGAGGCGCCGCGCGAGGCGGAGGCGCCGAGTTTGCGTTTGTTCTGGTGGGTCTGGGTTTCGGAACCGGTGGTTGAGTGGAGGGCGCCATGTCAGACAACGAGGACAAGTGAGTGCGGGAGCCTCGGAAGGGGCTGGGTGAAGCGGGGAGGCTGAGAGGCCGGCTTCGGGGGGCGGTGTCCGAGGGGCCTGGGGTCCTGGGGGGCCTGGGGTCCTGAGAGGCCTGGGGTCCTGAGGGGGCCGGCGGGGCGGCAGGGCGCGGGGAGCCGGGCCGTAGACCCAGCCGGGGGCGCGGCAGGGCGCGGGGAGCCGGGGCGTAGACCCAGCCGGGGGCGCGGCAGGGCGCGGGGAGCCGGGGCGTAGACCCAGCCGGGGGCTGGGCGCACTGGCTGGGCCGGCCGTGTGTCTGGCCGCGGCGGTGCCGAGGCGGGCGTAAGCATACCCCTGCCTCCGACGCTCGCCTCTTAGAGGAGGGGCAGGGCCGCACGCCCTCAGCTCCCGCGGGGTCGAGTGAGCTTAGGCGGCAGCCGGAGTTCTTAGCACAACGTGATGCAGGTGGGCGTTCGCCGCGTGGCCAGGGACTGGGAGACCTGGGGGCGGGCGAGGAGCGGCGCTCTGTTTCTTAAGGGTTGCGTGGTGGGGTGGGAGGAGAGCGAGAAGGCAGAGCCCTCAGCATGGGGACCGTAGTCCAAACTGAGAAGGCCGTCGGTGCCCGGTGCCCGAGCAGTGCTGGAGGCGGGGAGGGGGCCGAGACAGAGAGGCCGGACCGTGGGGCAGGACGCGCGGCCCAGCCGGGGAGCTGCACGGGGGGCAGCAGCCTGGAGGTCACTAGGGAGCTGAGTGGTGGCTTTGATGGAGCCGTGTGGGGGCGCGCGCGCTCGTGTGTGTACCCATGGGTACGTGCCCGCGCTCACGTGTGTGTGTGGGTGCGCGCGTGCTCGTGTGTGTACCCATGGGTACGTGCCCGCGCTCACGTGTGTGTGTGGGGGGGCGTGCTCGTGTGTGTACCCATGTGTACGTGCCCGCGCTCACGTGTGTGGGGGGGCGTGCGTGCTGGTGTGTGTACGCATGGGTACGTGCTCGCGCTCACGTGTGTGTGTGTGGGTGCGCGCGTGCTCGTGTGTGTACCCATGGGTACGTGCCCGCGCTCACGTGTGTGTACCCATGTGTACGTGCGCGTGCTCGTGTGTGTACCCATGTGTACGTGCCCGCGCTCACGTGTGTGGGGGGGCGTGCGTGCTCGTGTGTGTACGCATGGGTACGTGCCCGCGCTCATGTGTTGGGGGGGGCGTGCGTGCTCGTGTGTGTACGCATGGGTACGTGCCCGCGCTCATGTGTTGGGGGGGGCGTGCGTGCTGGTGTGTGTACGCATGTGTAGTGCCCGCGCTCACGTGTGTGGGTGCAGGTCGTTGGAGGAGATGACAGAGTTGGGGGACAGGAAGGGGGACAGTGAGGATGGAAGACCATTTCACACATTTTGCTCCAAATGGGAACATGGAATTAGGACTGGGGGGGGGCCAGCGGGAGAAGTTAAGTTTTTGTTTTTCTATTAACTTTAAAAAAATTTGTTTTTAAAAATTTATTTTTATTTATGTGAAAGAATTAGAGAGAGAGAGAGGTCTTCCGTCCACTGACTCACTCCCCAGATGGCCGCAATGGCTGGAGCTGAGCCAATCTGAAGCCAGGAGCAGGAGCTTCCTCCGGGTCTCCCGTGTGGGTGCAGGGCCCAGGCACTTGGCCATCCTCTGCTGCTTTTCCAGGCACATTAGCAGGGAGCAGCTGGGACTTGAACCAGCGCCCATGTGGGATGCGGGCACTGCAGGCCCCAGAAGTTAAGTTTTTAAGCTGGAGAGAGCCACGTGTTTAAATGCTGGTGGGTGTGGCCCATTGGAGAGGGAAGCAGGGTGATCTGGGAGCAGACAGGGTAGGACTGAGGGGAAGGGGCCAGTTTGGTTCGCTCATCAAGTGGGTATTTATTGGTGTCTGCTGCACCCTGGGTGAGATGACCCCTGGCTCTCTGCTTCCGGAGAGTGACCTCTGACCGCTGGTCTCTTCCTGTGCAGTTTTGACGGGGATGACTTTGACGACGTGGAGGAGGATGAAGGGCTGGACGACCTGGAGAATGCTGAGGAGGTCAGTATTCATCCTGCAGTCCTCGCTGCCGGACTGCCTGGCAGGGGATTTTTTTTTTTTTTTTTCCAGAGATTTATTTATTTGAAAGGCAGAGATACAGAGAGGTAGAGACAGAGAGAGATCTTACATCTGCTGGTTCACTCCTCCAGTGGTTGCAGTAGCTGGAGCTGCGCCAATCCAAAGCCAGGAGCCAGGAGTTTCTTCCAGGTCTCCCATGTGGGTGCAGGGGCCCAAGGACTTGGGCCATCTTCCACTGCTTTCCCAGGCTGTAGCGGAGAGCTGGATTGGAAGAGGAGCAGCCAGGACTCGAACCGGTGCCCATACAGGATGCCGGCCCTGCAGGCGGCGGTTTTACCTGCTAGGCCACAACGCTGGCCCTGGCAGGTGATCATTCCCTCACGATGTCTTCCTCCTGTTTGTGGTCAGGGCTCTGCTGCAAGCGCCCCCAGCCCTGGCTGGTAGAGCAGCCTTGCTGGGTGGATCTGAAGGCTGTTGCCCTCCTGGTCCATAGCCCTTGACTTCTGGGCAGTTAGTTCTTCCATGTCCTTCTCTTCTTTTGTTTGTTTATTCACTTGGAAGGCAGAGTTACAGAGAGAGAGGGAGGGACAGAGATCTTCCATCTAGCGGTTCACACGCCGAATGCCTGGGGCTGGGCCACACTGAGTCTAGGAGCCAGGAACCCCATCCAGGTCTCCCACATAAGTGACAGGGGCCTAAGCACCTGAGCCAGGATGCCATCAGTTTCAATCCATTTTGCTCTCTCTTCTCTTGCCTCCTTTTTCTTTTATTTTTTTAAAAGGTTTTATTTATTACCTGAAAATCAGAGTTACTGAGAGAAAGGGAGAGAGACAGAGCAACAGAGATATCTCGTATCTGCTGGTTCATTCCCCAGATGGCTGCAATGGCCAGAGTTGGGCCAAGCTGAAGCCAGGAGCTTCTTCCAGGTCACCTGCATGGGTGGGGGCAGGGGTCCAACCACTGTGTATCTTCCACTGCTGTGTTTTTTAAATTAATTTACTTATTTTAAAGAGTTACACAGAGAAAGAGAGACAGAGGTAGAGATCTTACATCTGCTGGTTCACTCCCCAAATGACTGCAATGACCCAGGCTCGGTCAGGCAGAAGCGAGGAGCCAGGAGCTGCTTCTGGGTCTCCCACATGGGTGCAGGGGCCCAAGGACTTGGGCCATCTTCTACTGCTTTCTCAGGCACGTTAGCAGGGAGCTGATTTCGAAGTGGAGCAGCTGGGACTTGAACTAGCGGCCATGTGGGATGCCAGTACTGCAGGCTGTGGCTTAACCTGCTGCACCACAGCTCTGGCCCCCTTCCATTGGTTTTGCAAGGCCAGAGCAGAGAGCTAGATTGGAAGTGGAACAGCCGAGACTTGAACTAGAGCCCATATGGCGTGCCAGCGTTGCAGGCAGTGGCTCTATCTGCTGTGTCGCAATGCCAGCCTGCCAGTCATCTCTTACCTGCCTGGATGATTGATTTCTGATCCTCCTCAGTGATACCTCTGCTTCTGCCCTTGCCCTCAACAGCCACAGAGCATTCAGAGTAAGACTTCAGAATCTTAAATTGTGTCTTTCGGGGCCAGTGCTGTGGCTTAGTAGGGTAAGCCTCTGCCTGTGGCACTGGCATCTCCTATGGGAGCTGGTTCGTGTCCTGGCTGCTCCACTTCCCATCCAGCTCCTGGCTCCTGACTTTGAATCAGCCCAGCTCCAGCTGTTCTGGCCATTTGGGGAGTGAACCAGTGGATAGCAGACCTCTCCCTCTCTCCCCCTCCCTCACCTGAAAAATTCACTCACATTTTCCCTACTTTTCTGTCTTTCTGGCCAGGAAGGCCAGGAGAATGTTGAGATCCTGCCCTCTGGGGAGCGACCACAGGCCAACCAGAAGCGAATCACCACCCCGTACATGACCAAGTATGAGCGAGCCCGCGTGCTGGGCACCCGCGCCCTCCAGATCGCGTAAGTGACGGGCCCCTGCACTGTCTCCCGCATTGGCCAGAGCCGCTGAGAGCACTGGTGGTGCTGGCCCGTGTGCCAGGCGCTGTGCTGCCCTCGGCCCTCAGGGGGCCTGTGGGCTAAGGACGTGAGAAGTAGCTGCCGCCAAATGACAGTACAGGAGAGACTGACAGTGCAGTCACCTGAGGGTCAGTGAAGCAGAAAGCGAGCTCAGGGACCCCCAGCCTGTCCGAGCTGATGAGTCGCTGGTGGGGCGGGAGGGGGGCTGTGGCAGCACCCGTCGGGCCCAGGGGAGTGGGGACGGCTATCAGGGCAGCGTGCTGAAGACAGGAGAGTGGAGCGGTGGTGGGCTGCGGGGGACTCGGGAATCTGTGGCCCAGTCGCTTCTCGGCCTTTTGGCTAAGATCAAGTGTAACAATTTGTGACCCTCCTTTTCTTCAAGTTTGGAAGGATCGCTGGGTCCAGGAGACAGACAGTGGGCAGGTGGAGCTCAGAATGTCTGCTGGCTGCAGAAAATCCTGGGAGCCACAGGCAGTGGGGACCTGCAACGCCTGCCGAGGTCACGGGCGCCCGGGGGAACCGGCCAGAAAGCACCTCTGTGCCGGCAGGTGCTGTGGGAAAGCAGGGCTCTTGACGAGGCCCATCTCCCCCCAGGCTCGCCTGTCAGCTCTGCCTTCCTGGGGACGCCCGGCGTTGATGGGCTGCAACGTCAGGTCCTCTGCCGGGAGCCGGGGCTGAGGAAAGGAGCCCCTACGACACACGGCGAACAAGCTGGTGGGAGATGGAGGAGAGGGTGCTTCAGGGAGGGACTGTG